GTTGCCGAAATTGTTAAGTGTTTTTTTTTTTTTTTTTTTTTTTTTTTGGTGGAACCAGGGATTGAACTCAGGCCCTCGTGCTTGCCAGGGAAGTGCTTATTCCACTGAGCCATCTCCCCGGCCCCAAAATTGTTAAGTGTTAATCATGTTAGGAAAAGGCACTTGGCACATCTCCACAACTCTCTCTACCTCTTTCGTCCACTTATGTTCAGGCCAAAATTCTTCTCTCAGATTTTTAAAAGCCTATATAGACCAGGAATGTCAAGGTCTCGTTAAGCCTTATCTCTGATCTTGGGGCTGGCTCTGCTCATGACCCTGTGAAAATCTGTCACATAAGTCATTTTGTGACTCTGAAACCAAAAATTAAGAGGAAGCCTTCAGGCCTCCTAATCTTCTTGGGGAGGTCATGGTCTATCTCAGACCTGACAGTATCTTGGCCAAATTCACACTGCTTTGTGGTTAGGCAAGAGCCATCTATCTCCATTAAAGGCAGATGACCTCCTACTGGGGAGGCCAGTTTGGCCTGGCTAGCTAAGCTCAGACCCACTCAGCGGTCTTGCAGCGAGGTGGGACTTACCTCTTGTGAGTGACTTTCCCTGGCCCGGCAGACACTGCTGAAGTGTGGGAAAGAATATTTTGGTACAATTGATGGCTGTGCAGCGGATCATTCAGGCAGAATATTTGAAGTGGCAAAAGTGAGCGCTACACTGATGACACTAAGAATGCCTCTTTACTGAGTGGCTAATCTTTCGTTGTTTAAATGTGCAGACAGGGTCCAGGAGAGCCACAAATCTGCATGATGGGGAACATAGCTCTCAGAATTAACTGGCAGACAAATGGCTTTCTGACTGCTGGGGCGAAGGCCTCACAGCTTCCACATTACTTCTGCCACTCAGTACCTGGGAGCTACCATGACCCTTGTCCTAAATGATTGCCTCTTTGGCAGGAGCATAAGCAGAATTGGCCTTCAAGGGCAAGGCCTTTCAGGTCTAATGAGTCCTTCTCCAGTTTGGCATCTCTACAGCGGCATAATGAGATGTAATGTCATTCCAGGACAATGTCAGTCCTGTCCTCAGGATTGTGTAGAAGGATTTTCACCCTCACTCAGACCACATGCAATGAGATTTACTTCTCAGCCTTCTAGAATAGATGGAAGGTGACCAAGCAGCAGCAGAAGAAGTGAGGAGCTTGAAGGCAGGCAGCTCTGGTGTGGATTATTGATGCTTCTTCTTATGGGTATGATACTGTGACTAAAAAATAAGTTTGCTGGCTGTTTTCTTATCTATACTGGGGACAATGAGCCCTCCTCTATAGGTTTATGCTCCTGCTGTAATGAGGGATGGGGAGATAATGAGGGCAAAGCGCACAGCGCACCCTCTGTCTATTGTGTCACGTCCCCTGCCCTCTCAGCAGGCCGAAGGTGGCACTTGTGGTCCCTCTGTTGTCTCTGTTGTCCGTCATCAGTAATTGTGCACAAGCCAATATCACCAAGGCTTACTTTGGATTCTTTCTTTCAATGGTAGCAACTGATTTTTCAATTGAGTTGCACAGCAAATGTGCCTTTCTCTGGAGTCGTGCAGATACCAGGGGCACAAGCTTGAGCAAGTTCTCCGTCTTTCATTCTGGCTGAGGGTGAGCCAGACAGCGACTCTTCACCTGGCCTCACAAGTGGCCAACGGAGAAAGTTCGAGCAAGACCTGAGGGGAGTGTGCGGATGGGACTGCAATCCCTCCTTCTGGAGACATCATGTCTAGTATAGACCATTTGCAAATTGGCCGGAAAGGGAACTCCAGGCTTCTCAGACACACAGCGCACCTACAGCTTCAGTTTTTTATCTGATCCTCTAACCTGCCAGGCAAGGCAAACACATCCACACCTCAGACTTCAAGTTTGAAGGGCAAGTAGAAAGTAAGACTCAAAGCAGAATTTGGCAACTGATGCCACAACACTGGCTTTGCTATTATTGAACACATCCTGACCTTCAGATTTTAAATATTCCTAGACTGGGAAATTCCACTTTGGAAATTTGTACTAAAGAACTAATAATATATATGTGCAAAGATTTGACTCTAAGGGTGCTATTTGTCACATTATAGTAGCACAAAATTTGAAACAATTGACAGATGAGACTGCTGCAAACAGTGGAAATAAATCTTGTAAACACATTCAAGGAATAGTATGCAGCCACATAAACCATAAACTGATACTGTGAAAAGAAAATGTGACCATGGAAAGATATTCATAATATATGGTAGGAGATAAAAAGGAAGAAAATAGTGTTTGTAGCCTGACTTGTATATTACCTTTCTTTCTTTCTTTCTTTCTTTCTTTCTTTCTTTCTTTCTTTCTTTCTTTCTTTCTTTCTTCTTTCTTTCTTTCTTTCTTTCTTTCT